GGGGGGGGGGGGGGAGGGAGAGAAGCCCCTGCATGTTGATTCAGCTTTAGCAGACCCACAGCTCCTCACTTGCCTCCTTCTCATCCCAAAGGGAAACCTAACCTAAACTGGATTTTAATGCAATTTGGGGACATTTTATTAAATTAGAGAAGCCCCTTGAACACTAATGGCATTTTATTGTGTTAAGAAAAGGGCTCTCTGAGCATCAACCAGCTGATGTGGAAGCACAACAGAATGACTGGTGTGTGGTTTTTCCCTGTTCCTTGCCGTGCTGTTATGAAGTTCAGCATAAACGTTCTGAGATGTTAGTGATGGCTGAGTGTAACAGTTAACACACCAGATTGGGGGGACACAGATCCCACTTGGCCATGGAGCTAACCTGGGTGACTTTGGGCAAATGGCTGTGTAAAGATAAAATGAGGGGAGGTCCCCATACACGCCCAGTCTGAATTCTCTGGAAAAGGAGGGAGATAATCAAAATCATCATCATCATCATCATCATCATCATCATCATCATCACCACCACCACCACCACCATCACCACAACTATTAGTGTTGTTATTAAGTCTGTTATTCTGCTAAGTTTATAGGTCTGGTTCTGTAATGGTTTGTATGCGAATTGCTAACTGCTTGTCTTCATTTTTTGACCTTTTATTTTTATGGAAGCTTTTTTGTGTTACGTTCTACTGTGGTTTTTATTCGTATTTATTATACCACAGACATTTCATTGTATTGTTTATATGTATTGTAACCTGCTGAGAATTCCCTCGACTACAGCAGGCATAAATCAAAGGATATAGAGATGGAAGCTTTCTTCCAGAATCGGATGCTGTTTCACAGTTTAATATCCTTGTGCCACCTTTGGGCAGAGGTTCACTCTGCCCTTTAAAGGATTCTGTGGCTGACCCCTTCCCATCCCTGGTCCTCTTCGACATGCAGTTTTGGGATGAGATGTAACACAATGTTTCTTCCCAAACACAAGATCCATTTGGAGGGCTTCCTCTGGGTGTCCCCTGTGCTGAAATGGGGCACGTATGCCCTTTATGAAGGGCAGCTCCCCAACACTGGGATGCCCTTCCCAACAAAGTCTGCCCAGTGCCATCTTTATTGTATTTCTAGAAGCAGGAAAACACATCTTTTTGTGCTCCCAAGCCTTTTAGTAATGCTTTCGGTCCTGCTGCGGTGTGCTTAGCCCCCTCGCTGCTGCCTTTACGGCACTCTGTTATTGTCTTGCTGTTTCTTATTACAGTATTTTATTTGGTACATTTTATACAGGCTTTCATTTACCCTGTTCTCAACTGTTTCACCATACTGTTTTACTGGTTTAAACTCTACTTCAAGCTGCCTTGAGATATTTGAAATGGGAACCGGAATCCAAATATTGTAAATAAGGAAGGACATAACCAAGGCTTCTGTTCTCTCTGTCTTCAGCAAAGCAAGGTCGCAATGAAGCTCCAAGCGATGGGCTCGCATCCATTAAACATGCAGCCTACAAAAGGCTGGGCAATTCTTTGCAATCCACAAGGGCTCCGCGATCATTAAGGGTGAAAATGTAGGAAGTCTGTCTGAGCACAAGAAGTAAAAAAAGAAAACAGGGAGAGATTTCTCTTTGAACGAGTGAATGAATGAATATCTGTCTATCATATCAATCTATCTATTATCTATCATATCTATTATCTATCATATCTATTATCTATAGCTATCTATTATTTATCTATCATATTGTATCTATATTATTTATCTATCAAATCTATATCTATCTATCTATCTATCTATCTAATCTATCTATATCTATTATCTATACCTATTATCTATCATATCCATTATCTATCATATCTATTATCTGTATCAGTTATATCTATCTATCTATCTATCTATCTATCTATCTATCTATCTATCTATCTATCTATCTCTATCTATCTAAATCTAATCTATTATCTCTACCT